CGAGGGTCCTTTGCTCAAGTGTGCCCCCGGTAGTCCAGTGGGGTCTTCGTGGTGCCTCCCGTGGTGTCCTGGTCCGTGCCCCCAGGACTGCACGCTGCCCACTGCCTGAAGTCCTCCTTATCACGTGGGGATCACATGGCTCAGGGCCCTCCCCAGTGTGGCCACAAACTGTCTGACCTTCCTTATCTCACACCCCTTGCTGCCATGCACCCTCCTCTTCACACATACGGTCTCAATGGAAACAGAGAAGAAAAGGCAGATAGATGTAAGAGACATTTCTGAGACGGAATAAATGGGTACGGTCGGGGAGACAGACAAGAATGCCTCTGGAGTGAGCCCAGCATCCTGGCTCCAGTGTCTGGTGACAGAGGAGCCAGACCCTGAGTCAGAGCAGGGGGGCGGGGGGGGGGCAGTGCCGGAGGCCCCGGGGACTTCCAGGCGGAGGTGGCCAGGCCCTCGTGGATACGCTGACTCAACCTCATTCATGAAGGAGGCAGACAGACGTGTCTTATTGTGGAGGGATCCAAGAGAGAGAGCGAGCAGGGAGAGAGAGAAAGAAAGAGAGAAAGAAGGCGGGGAGAGAGAAAGACGGAGAGAGAGAGAGAGAAAGAGAGAAAGAAAGAGAGGAAGGGAGGGAGGGAGGGAGGGAGGGAGGGAAGGGAAGGAGGGAGGGAGGAAGGAAACAAAAACAGAATTATCAAAATTATGTTTTGTGTTCGGTGCTCACATTAACAGTTCATGTAAAATAATGGCCAACTGGTCACCTTCCAATACATCGACAATCCTAATTGAAAAGAACATCAAAAGCCCAAATTGGAGAGTCTGAATCATTCTGAAACCTGGGCCCCCCCATCGCCAGAGACACCCCAGGCCGATGCCTCTGAGTGACTCAGGTGTGCGGGGGCAACTCGGGGAGGGAGGAAGAAGAGGGCGAAGGGTGAAAAAAAGAGCCAGAGACGGGAGAAAGAAGGAGGCGGAGGTGGAAGTCAGAGAGGCGGCCACAGAACAAGGAGTGTGGGCGTCACAGACAGAACACAAGGAGGGACGCGCCCCTTCATTCTGGTGAGGGCAGAGCCGACACCAAGACGAGAACTGGTGACACCGCCCCGGTGACAACCGCACAGACAAAAATGCCATCGGGACCAGAACCACCAGCACATCTGGGACCTCTGAGGCCAGCGCCACTGCCGAGAGCAGAGCCCACGGAACCAGAATGTGGCGTTAAGACCAGAAATGACACCACGGCCCGAAAAACACCAGAGGGGACCCCTAAGACCAGAACCACCGAGACCCACCTGAAACAGCGCTTCAAACACGAGACCAGAGCAGCTGCCCCTGGCCCTGAGCCTAGGGCCTATGTGTCTAATTTTAGTCTTGAGACATTCGGGGAGACCTTTCCCAGTGCCAAAGACGTGGGGTTTTAGGGCCCAAAGCTGATGACAATGAGCACCCCACGTTCTTACAAGGGGTGCCAATGTAAAACAGACACCTCCCTCAGAGCTCGCTAAGAAGAGGCAGAGAAGTCCCATTGTCACCAGCCTCCACCTCCCTCCCTCCATAGTCTGTAAGAAGGGCCGAGACACATTGAAGGGAAAGGGAATCACTTGTAGAAATTGGGGGTGCCTTCCAGGAGAGACTTGCGTCTACCCCCTGAGATGAACGTCTGCACAGACTGGATCCGGTCTGTCCCCAGACCTACCAGAGCTAGAAACGGGGAACAGAGGGGGGCTGGCAGGACGGAAAGAGGAGGCAGAGTCCTGTACCCACAGCCTGCACACCAGGGATGTGAGCGTTTCCTGGGGACCGGTGGACAATGCCGATGGGCACTGCATTCACACCAGCACCCCACCCAGCAGGGCTAGAGCACCCCAGCAGCCTGAGCTGCACCTCCTGCCTCGGGAAAGGGAGGGCCTGCCGAATTCCGCAGGACTCACACATGCGACCCAGAGGGCAGAGGGCCCGCGAGAGCCACGGAGGTGGTGGCAACGAGCAGAAAGAGGCATCCCGTCGAGGAAAGAGCTGTGTGCCTTCCTCTCCGACTCCTCTCCGTGTTTCTAACCCCCAAAACACTGGACCCAGAAGAACGAAAAGCAAGGCGTGCCCTGACTGGGTGGCTCCGTTGGTTGGAATGCTGCCCCGTGCATCAAACGTTTACAGGTTCGATCCCCAGTCAGGGCGCGTGAGGGAAGCCACTGATCAATGTTTCTCCCTTATATCGATGTTTCTCTCTCTCTCTCTCTCTCCCTCCCTCAAATCAACGAACATGTCCTCAGGGGAGGGAGGGAGGGAGGGACCCAGAGCTTGCTCTCACCGCCCCCGCCCCCGTGGTGATGAGGACACTGACCACGGCATGGACACAGGCTGGGGACTCAGAGCCATGCATCACCCCTCAACTAGACAGAAGGGAGATGAGGCTTAAATCAAGTACGGGATCAAAATTTTAAACTGGCCCTGGCTGGCGTAGCTCCATGGATTGAGCGCGGGCTGCGAACCAAAGTGTCGCAGGTTCGATTCCCAGTCAGGGCACATGCCTGGGTTGCAGGCCACGGCCCCCAGCAACCACACACTGATGTTTCTTTCTCTTTCTCTTTCTCTCTTTCTCCCTCTCTCTCTCTCTCTCTCTCTCTCTCTCTCCCCGCCTTCCTCTCTAAAAATAAATAAATAAAATCTTAAAAAAAAAAATTTAAACTGGACCGGACTTTCAATAAATGGAATCCCAAGATTTCACGGGACTGGATCTGACCAAGCATGCCTGCGGCTTGTGGCTGGCTCCATACTCAGGGCCCCGTGAGTCGGGACTTCTCGAGGAAGAGGGCTGGAAGGGAGAGCTGGAACAGCAGCAGCCGTCTGCTCAGGGGAGACCAGGGTCCCTGCAGGGAGGACCTGGAGCCACCGGAAGCGCCCGGAGTCCCTGAGACGGGAAGGGGAGGGCCTTCCCGGCCGTCTGGGAGAGGGAATCAGCGGGCGCCTCCAGCAAGAGCCAGGGAGGAGCGAGAGAAAACGAGACTGCTGACCTCATAGCTGGCTCTGCCATCGATCATGATTACTTGGGCTCCGTGAACGCAAGCGTTTACATTTGAGCTGATTTAATAAAGAAAATCCAGTTTCTACTCAATTAGTTGGCACATCCCACACTCCTTGACATTCAGCCTCACACGCCGCCAGCCACCTGGTGGCAGCGTCAATAAGGCAAGGGGACATACTAAAGAACACCTTGAAAGACCCCCAAACACCCAGGTCCCCAAATCCCCAGGAACCTCAGAGGGCCAGCTGTGACTCATACCCAGGCTGTCCCTGGGGAAATAACCAAGTGCCCAACCCCAGGCCTGACCTACCCTTCACCAGAAATCTCCCAGGACCCAAGATAGGACCGTCCTGGCCAACCCCGCCCACACCTGCAGGCCCCGCCCCCTTCCAGCCTCCGGGGCATCTTCTCTGCTCAGCTTATGCCTCACGAGGGCCCCCTACAGCTTCACAGCGAAATGACAGGCCCCGAGCTTGTTTCTAAATAACTGTTCAGAGCGCTGGCAGGGACTGTTCGCTCAGCGTGTGCCAGACCCTGTTTCTGTTGGGCTTTGCTTGTAATTTTCTTCCACTTCATCAGTGATTTAACTGCTCTCAAGGAGGTAGATTCCGCCTCCCCCCACCCTCCCCACCCCGGCACAGACGTGGAAACTGAGATGCAGAGATGTTCGCATGACAGGTCGAGAAGTGGTGGGGCTGGGATTCGAACTGTGGACGCTGCGGGTGATGAAGACTGCTGGCCCAGGGCCTCCTTTTATATGACCTTCTGTGCACACTGCCCTTGGCCCAAGGTCAACACACAGCCTCAAAGCACGTTCAGATTTTACAGGGTGAAAGAAGTCAGCGTAAAACTCTGCGCCTTGGAAGCTCAGCCCCATGCAACCAAGCACAAGTCTCCGAAGCTCTCCCAGCCAGTTTTAGACCAGCAGACGGGTTGGAAAAGCCAGTGTCCACTTGTCCACCACATACCGCGCCTCGCTGACCAGGAACCCACAAAATCACCTCCAATACTTTTGTTCTAACAGTCAAGACATCCTATTAACAAATGATTATGGCCCTGGCTGGTGGGGCCTCGTGCATTGAGCACTGGCCTGTGAACCAAAGGGTTGCCGGTTCGATTCCCAGTCAGGGCGCATGCCTGGGTTGCGGGCCAGGTCCCCAGTAGGGGGCGCACAGGGTACCAAATCTAACACAGGGGAAAACAGGAGCGCGCAGCACCCCTCAGGACACAGCACTAAGACGTGTCCTACACCCCTGGATCTGGGGCCTCGAACTGCTGGACCATATCCAGGCTACGAACACAGTCGTCTGACTTTCAATAACTAGGCAGGTTTCACAGGAACCCTGGACGGTGCAGCTCTCTTGAAAGACTGGGAGATCTGGCAGGTGTGGGCTTGTGTCCCCCCCTCGGCGGGAACCAGCTGGCGCTGCGTGCAAGTGGCTCTGAATAAAGAAAGCGTGTGCCATCCACTTTGCTGCTGTCTCCACCCCTCCCTGCTGCCTGTCAGCAAGGCTAGCGTCACGCCTGTGAGGACGCAGCAGATGAGCCGGGTCCTCCCAGGCTAGTGGGAAAGACAGGCGTCAAAGAAAAAAAAAAAAGCCTGCAAGACCGTGTGGTGTGTGTGTCCACAGAGGTAAACTTCGAATACTTACTTAGTAGCTGAGCGAAAGCCAGACGCTGAACTCAGCCCAGCCCCTACTGGGCACGTGGAGGTGGCCACTCTCGACTGTCCCAAGTCCCCTCTGGGGTCGCCACAGTGGCATTAGGGCCCTTGCTCAGGACTGAGACAGGACCCAAGGGGCTGCGGTTATTCTTGTAGGTAAGTCAACCTCTGAGAACACGTCACAGGTAAGAGAGACAATGACATGCTCTCTGGGACAGCGGAAACACGAGTCCCAGCAGGGCTTAGGGGACCCAGAACACGGGTCCTAAGGAAACAGAGCTCGTGGTCCCTGCCCCTCCCCCTCCCTGTTACCTGCCGGAGGGCAGTGCGCGCCAGGACCGCCCAGATCAGCAGCCACGGGGGGCTCCTGCAGGAGGAAGCCATGGAGCCCGGTGTCCCGGATGGGTCTCACCTTAAGCCTGGAAAAGAGAAAAGCGTTGGTTTCCTACCAGCTCCGACCCTAGGCGCAGCTCCCAAATCAGAGGGAGACTGGGAAGGTTTCTGTCCGGTTCAGCATGGGGCTGCCTGGGGTTCTCCAGCGGGACAAGTCCACGTCAGGGTCAGGAGGGCAGCTGGCCCGGCCTCGAGCGTGCGTCCCCGCCCCGCCAGGCCTCCAGAGGCCGAGGCATCTCCGCACCAGCCACTTTCCAGCTCATTTGTCAGCCTCAGGGCGTGGCGACTGGCACACAACTCAGGAAACCGACCCCGAGCCAAGGGTTAGGGCACCTGCCAGCGTCTGCTGCTTCGGGCATAAATGAGTCTGGGGCCCACACAACCGTCCCACAGAGGGGACCGGACCTGCCGAAGGTCACACGGCAAGTCGGTGACCGCTCCCGGGCGGCAGCGCACGTCCTCTGGAAGGTCTGGGCTTTCCCCGCCGCTGACACGGGGCGCCCTCAGAGCCCCGGGCTGCAGCCAGCGAGGCCTGCGAGGCAGCCAACAGCCTCCCGCAGCAGGCAGGGGGCGCCGGCAGCGACCCTGGGACAGCGCGGGGGCGGGGGCGGGGAGCGTGGGGGTTCTCCGGGGCCCTCCTGCGAGTCCCCGGCGAAATCAGTAGGAGCCGAGACTGGAAAAGCCGAAGTCACCCTCGCCTCGCGCTTCGCCTCGCGGGCGCCTTGGCGGAGCCGGTGTCCGGGGGCGGGTCGGTGGCTCTTCTCCGTCTGGAGAAAGCATTAAGGGCCCGGCCTAATGCGATCCGCAAATGTGCTGCTGCTTCCGAGCCGGGGCGGCACCTCCGGGCTGCAGGGCGGCGGCGGGGACGGGGACCCCGCGCGCCCCTCACTCGCTCTCGGGAGCGGCCGTGCGGGCGGCTCCCCGCGGCCACGCTGTCGCTCCTCCGGCGCCCGCCGCGTCCTGTCGCCCCGCGCTCGCGTTCGCGCCAGGCGCGTCCCTCCGCCCTCGGCCCTCCCGGAGCTGGAGACCCGCGCGCGGCCAACCTGGGGGACCTTCCGACGCCTGAGGCTTCTGGCTGCCGTCCACCCCTTTCTGCCTGGGCGCCCCCAAACCTGAAGGACTCGCGCCCGTCCGCCCGCGCAAAGCCCCGCACGTCCCTCTCTGAGGCGCCCAGACCCCGCGGAGGGATTCGGGACCTTTCCCTGTTTGTGTTAGTTTGGCCAAGTCACTGACACCTTCGTTCTGAAGTTTGAATTGTCGAATCCGTCCACGGCGTCCCCCGCCCGGGTCTCCCCGGCTGGGAGAGCCGCCCTCGCTCCCGCGCCGAGCACCCACCTGGCACCGCGGATGCGTCTGGAACCGGCGGCCCCGGGCGGCGCGGGCTCGGCGCGCGCTGAGGGGAGACGGCGCGGCGGCCCCGTCCGTCCCTGGTGCGGACTCCGCGCCCGGACCTTCCCCGACGCCGGCCTCCGGCCCGCCGCGCCGCCGCCGCCGCCGCCGCGAAGTTAAATGGGGCCGGGCCGGGCCGCCCCGCCTCCCCCGCCCCTCCGGGCGCGCGGCGCGGCGCTGGCCGCGGCCCAGAGCGCGGGGCGCGCGCCGCCACCTGCACCGCCCGGCAAGTGCACCGCGCGCCCGGCGCCCTCCGCCCGCGCGAGGTCGTCGGCGCGCGGGGAGTGTGAGGGGCCCGGCCGGGCGCTCTGAGCGCGCGGGGCCAGGGCGACGGCGAGACGCGGCTGGAACGCTCCTGCGCCCGCTTCCTGGAAGCCACTCCTCGCCCGGGCCGGCCGCCAGGCGCGGTGCCAGAGCCGGGGTTGCCGACGCCGCCGCCGACGCCGGCGGCCGCGCCGAGGAAAGGCGGCCGCGCGCGAGCCAGCCGGGGCGCCCCGCCCCCGCCGGAGCCGGAGTGGGGATGCCGCCCCCGCCCCGCTCGGGCCCGGGCGCCGGCTCTGCTCAGTCGGCCCGGCGGCCACACGGACGTTTGCCCGGAACCGCTGGCTCGTGCCTGCGCTCTGGCGCTCCGGGCCAGGCCTGACTGCAGTCGGAGGCCAGGGCCCCTCCCGGCGCCCGGCGCAGGGGCCCCGCCACGCCACACCTGGCTGCCAGGGACCGGGAGCCACCCCCCCGGAGCCGAGCTTGGCTGCCCCAGGAGTGGGGCGCCCAGGCCTGTGGTTTGGGGTGGGAATGGTGGCGTCAGGGACCAGGGTGAATTTCCCGTGGACGTGTAGAGGTGAAGGGAACTGCGGCAAGATGTGTGTCGCCGGCCTTGGCCCCGTCTCAGCGGTATGAAGGCAAGGGACAGGGGATTGTTCTGAAGGTCCGCTGTAGGCCCCCAGCCAAGGACCACGGCCAGCATTTCCTTGGGTGCGGAGCGTGCGCGGGCCGCTGCGCCGACGCCCCGGGGCTGCTCAGCTCCCTTGTGGCGTGGGGTGGGGGCTCCATTCTCATCTGGCCCACGAGGACGCAGGCTCAGGGGGGCAGTAACCAGCACGTCACGGTTTGCAAAGCCGCGGGACTGGCACCTGAAGCTCTTCCGTGGTTGGCACGCTCCAGGTGTCGTGACAGCTTTACCCAGGGGAGCTGGCCCTGCCCGCCTGGTCCTTGTGGTCCTTTCCTCGCTCTGGCGACTTCCTGTGGCCAAGAGGAGGATCTCAAGACTGCCTCCTCACTCTGTGCAAAGCAGCTGGCGTCTGGTGGGAAGTGAGCAGAGGGCACTCCGTGGGAAGGGCCAGAGCCGCACCAGGTGGGGAGACCCACCCCTGAGGGGCAGGGCGGGTTGGGCTGAACCTGGGCACGGTGGAGGCTCCCCCGTCACCGTGGCAATGCTCCATGAAGTCACTGAGTTTGTGAGCACAGAAACATGGCTCCTTGGGGGATCACAGGGTCAGGCTCCTGCCGGCCGCCGGCCACACCGTTCTGCCGAGTGACCCACACACAGTCTCACTGGATGTGTTTCTCTTTCGAAACGCGGTCCTTAACCTCCACCGTCGGCTCACTCACACGGAATTCCCCGAGACCAGCACCGCGCCTCATGCGTGAAGGAAGCTTGTCTGACACGGGCCTCTCACCTCACGCGGGGTTTCCTCTGGAGGGCACGTGCCAGCCACCTCTCCGCTCAGGACCAGGCAGCCCCGCGGCGCTGCTCGTGGGGGCCGTTTTAAGCAGCGACATCACCAATAAAAGACAAAAATGTGAGAAGTGCCATGACACAGGCCATAAAAGGACACCCCTGGAGGCCCTGGCCAGGTAGCTCCGTGGGTTAGAGCGTCGTAAAGACACGCGGAGGTGGTGGGTTCGATCCCCAGTCGGGGCACATACAGGAATCCATCAGTAAATGTGTCAATACGTGGGGCAACAAATCAGTGTTTCTCTCTCTCTCTCTCAAATCAATAAATAATTTTTTTAATGTTAAATCAGAGCAAACCTGCTGACCAGAAGCCCAAGTGTGGTCTCGTTCCGTCTCCGCCAGGAACGCGCCTCGCAGGCAGCTCCAAGCTCTCGCCCCCCGGAAATGCCGGGAGAGGGCTGCACGGGTTGGCCGATCTGGGGGTTGCACATGAAATGGACCCAGGGGGTGAAGTCCCAAACACGGAAGCTGCCAACGCCGAGGACTGCCCGGACGCGCTTCTCGCGTCAGGGAGTCGGGAGAGGAATGATGAGAAACCTTCAGAACGCGATGCCCCGGGCACCTGACTGGGCTGAACTCAGTCGTCACACAGGCCCACGGTTTTCGCTCCGTTCTGCAGACGAGGAGGCTGCTGCGGGCGGACAGGCCTTCACGCCGCACGTCCTCGGGAAGCAGGCGCGAGCACTGCTCACAGCACTCACATTCTAAAGCCAGCCCTGGCGTATCGCAGCGTCTGGAGCAAAGCCACATGAATATTCAAGGTGAAATGGAGAATTCAAAGAGATGTTATGCTTTGCAGGGGCAGCTGTGTTGAGCGGACGGAGGTCCCGGTGCCTGAAATTCAGGAAGACACACCGAGAAGGCCTTTGGCGTCGGGGGAGCTGGTTGGGAACATTGCCGCCGCTGGGCTCTAAGGCAGGAACGGCTCCGCAGGACTTCCTGTCCCACCTCCACCCCCCGGCAGCTTCGATTCCCCAGCCAGCCCCCCTCCTGGGGGTGTCCCACATTAAGTCCGGAGGCCAGGACTGAGCCTCTCTCGGTGGAACATCAAGCAAACCCAGCCAAGAGAGTTGGTCAGGAATAAAGCAGGAGACATCACCAATACCGCAATGGAAGTTCCGCCTTCCCGTTCACCCGGCAGGTCCAGCAGTAGGTCCAGCAGGTCCTCCACGTGTGGGTTAGGGAGCACTGCAGGTTAGGAGAACGGGGAGCCACGGAGAGCTGAGGGCGCTCGGGGACAGCTGGCGGGCCCTCACAGGTCCCGTCCCACCTTCACCACCTGACTGTCCCCTCAGAGCGCTCCAGGCTCTGGTTGGGGACCGTGGGCGATGCTCAGGGGAGAAGGAGGAATCTCGGACACTCACGTAGGCCAGAGGCTGATCTTACGCAGGAAACAGGCTCGGATAGTGGTGACCGTGGTCTGCCTGTCCGGAGTGGGGTCCTTCCTTGGGATAGAAACTTTCTGTGCTATGAAATGTACGTGCGTCTTCATCTGGCTGCTCGTCTGCCTCTTGGGAGGAAGTGAGACAGGAGGAGGGACTCTGTGGGCTTGTCCATTGTACCACCTGTCCGTTACTGACTGACCGCAGAGGAGTGGAAGCACACGCTACCTTTTAGAAAGTTATCCACTCACAAAAGGGTTAAATTTAAGAAAAAGAAAACACCACCAAAGCAACGCATAGCCCTCCCACTCTTCACACTTGGCTTTCTGTGAGCACGTCACCTCTGACCTCTCTAGGGGACCAGGGTTTAACTGCAGAACCAACTACTTTGAGCAAGAAGAGCAGGGTGCAAGGGACTGCGCACTCTTCACGGTTTGAAAGCGGGACACCCGTTTTCTCGTGCGTCGTCGAGAAGAGCTGCGCCCAGAAAGAAGCGTTCCCTCCGGAGCCGCCTGCGGGTCACCCCCCCCCCCCCACCGAGCCCCCCAGGAACGGGACCCGCCTGTTTAGTCTGCTTCCCCGCGCATTCCCGACTCTCTCCGCTCGGCAATATTTGGGTTGGACACGCCACAAAGGAATACTTGAGAAGCCTTTTCCCAACTATAAGTTCCATAAAAACATTTCTACGTATTAAGTTTTGCACAACGCACTGAACGTGGGGAGGGTTTCGACAGCCGATGAAGCGATTTTTATCCCTGGCTGCCCAAGACCCCAGTAAGGAAGGTCCTATGTGGGTGAGCGTGAAGAACCGGTGTCCCGCAGACCCCGCCATCCACGCGGGGTCAGCTCTAGGCCTGACACACAACTCGGCCGTGTGCAGTGCCATGTGGTATGTGTTCACTGACAGCCTGCCCTGCGCCGGGCACGCGCTAAGTCTTGGGAACACAAGGCATAAGAAGCAAATGAGATGCATTGTGGTGAATGACGGCCCGGTCCCGCATCCGTGGCAGTGGGGATAAGAGGAGACGGCGGATTTGAGAATGTCAGAGAGGTGGAATTGGTCCGACTTTGGGAATGATGTAAAGGAGGGAGAGAGACGAGTGAAACCCGGTGCCTGGATTTGTGACCCGGGCCAGGCGTGGTGGCCATCAGGGTCATTCACTCCCATGGGAAACACGAGAGGAGGAGGAGCATGGTGGGCGGGAGGTAGGCAGGAGGGGGGCAGGGCCGAGACGAGGGCTTCACCTAGAACCTGTGGAGTTGGAAACGCCCACGGGTCTCAGACCAGGAAGACCGCCTGGGCTGGAGATGCAGTCCTGGGACTTGTCAGCAGGAAGGGACACACCGGAAGCCACGGGAACAGGGAGCGTGGATAAAAGCCGGCCCCCCGTACACCCACCCTCCACCTGTACTTGCATTGATCAGGAGAGGAATTTCTAAATGTTCTGTAAGGCGCGTGCACGACGTTAGAATTCCCCCTAAATGCTGAAAACATCAACGGTCTCTTTCTTAAAAAAGCCAAACCAAGAAGCCGTGATGACTGGGAGCCACGTTTGACGTCTACCTGTCTGCACCCTTTGCTCCTACGCCTGCGTGGCTCCGGCCACACGATGCTTCCATGGTGCGTCCTCGGCTGAGGTCCTCGCTCTGCCAGCAGGAACGGCAGCCGGGAAGGCACAGCCAGAACGCCCTTGAACCCTCCGAGGCCAGCCTGACACAAGCCCAGCCGGGGCCTCTGGTTTACCATCAAAGCCAGAGTGGGACTCACTCTGCCTTTCCCATGAAATTGCTAAATGCTACTTCCTGAAATATGGGCCAGACCAGTGTATTTTTATTGTTGTTTTCAAAAACAAAGCAAGAAACCAAAAGACGTCATGAAACAAATGTCCCCAGATTCCCATGTGGGCTCAGGCAGACTGAGAACAAACTGTCCCGAGGTCGGCCACTCAAAAACGGGGCAAACGGAGAAGAAATGTTTAAAAACTGTTCTTGGCGTGAAATCTCAGGTCAGGTAAGACTTCCGATCCAAGAAGGCGGTTCGAGCTCAAAGGGTTTCCTCAAGCCACCCAGTCCCCCACTCAAATCACTCAAGGGAGATGAAAGAAATTTCTAGATTAACGCTGGAAACGGGGGGGGGGGGGGGGTAGGGGGTTGCCCCACATCTGAGACTCAGAGGGTCCAGATGCAGCTGTAACCACGGCAACAATGCCCCCCTCCCCCGCCATGCAAGAAGAGAGCTGTGCCCTGGGAATGACCTCCTTTGACCCTGTCAGGAAGAGGACCAATCTGGAAATAAATCAGGTGACAAGAGTAACAAATGCAGGTTTGCAACATCACTGCCCCCTTCTCTGCCCACAAAGGCGGAGCAGGAAATGCATGTTCTTGACTCTGCCAGCAGCCACATGCAAACCCAGTGTGCAGGGCGCTGTGACCCTCTGATGGCCTTGGGCCCCGTTCGCAGACCCCTGGGCTCCCACCTGAGGCTACACACTGAGGTCACCAGGGGTTGTTCGTGACCCCTCTGGGCCCACCTGCCTCGGACCGGCGTGGAAAACCTTCACGGTGTGGGGAAGGGGCTCCTGGCTGACAATCCCCCCAGGCAGAACACGGCGGAGGGAGTAAAAACCGTTCAACGTGCCGACGTCTGGACAGCTGAACAGGAACTCGAGAAAGTCGTCACGGAGACAGACACCCAGGCCCAGGCGCCAGTGTCCGAAGGCACCTGCCCAGCCTCTCCCGCAGGTGATCCCCGAATACCCGCACCCTGCGTCAGCCTCCAAGTTCCTGCACATGGTCTGCCAGACGTCAGCATTTCAAGAGGCCCCATGAAGAACCGAGCGAGAAGACCCAGGATGAGAAACAGGGAAACCGAATCCATCTTATCACTGGCGAAAGCTACGTTGGAGAGTGCAGCTGAGATCTCTGGGCTGCCTCGTCCTGAACCCCACAACCAACCGCACTGACCCACCCGGCCACGGAAGGCCCTCCCCCAGGGTGGGGTCTTTAAGCCACAGGGTGCTCAGGAGGGATTCAGGACTCCGCTCTCTGCGGACAGGCCGAGTCTTAAGGGGAAGGGGAGAGGGAGCGCCCGGTTGACACACCTGCCTCTCTCTAAACTCAGGTGCCACGTCCGCCCTGGGCGCAGCTGGAGGGAGGCTGGGTCATGGATAAACATCACGGTGCACCGGACTGTCTGCATCCCAAACTGGAAGGAGTGTGCTGGGTTCGAGTCCGGCGCAAAGTGCAGGCCCAGGGCGGGAGGCGGGGGGTGGGCTGATGACCCCCTGGTCAGCCGTGGGGCACCAGCGTCTGCAGCTGGACCACCGCGCTTAGAAATCCACTTCACGTCAAGAACAGGCAAGGCCGTTTGCCAACAACACACTGTCGCATTTATTGGGCTATTCAAGGTCAGCAAACACAGGAGGCAGGGACGGGACCGGCCGCCACCAGTCACGTGGAGAAGGAGAGCCTTCGGCATTTCTTCCGCTTGGATCCTGCGTCTGGCGATCCGCCGACGTGCGCCGCCACGGGCCCGATTTATTTCTAGCGACCGAAAGCACATCCGTCCGTGGGTGGGGCCCACGGCGTCGAGGGCGACAAGCAAAGAAAGAAAAGCTCTATCTTCAGGGAGCTACCACAAGAAGGTCATTTATACAAACGGCATCGATATAAAATACGTTATAAAGGGAACACACGTACAAAAGTGGTTAAGCCGGTCACAGCGCGAGGATGTCACGGGCCGCCACGCGGTGCGGGGTGGGGGGTGGGCGGCGGGACATGGGGGGGGCGGGCCTTCCTCTCGGGCCGAGGGCTGGTCCGGCGTCCGGGCCACACGCTCACGGAGGCAAAGGCACGACCACGTCCACGTAGTTGATGGGGAAGAACCCGGACTCCCCGCGGAGAGTCCCCTCGTACCAGTTCTCGTCTATCTGGCTCGTCAGCGTGATGATGTCCCCTTCTTTAAACCCTAGCTCTCCCTGGTTCTCTGGCTCGAAGTCGTAGAGGCCGCGGCAGCAGGGCTGGTCCGGCGGGGCGTGGGGGCCTGTGCGCGCACGGGGTGGGGGAGACAGAAAAGCAGAGGTTAACAGGACGGGGCGGGTCATCCACGGGGCGCTGGCGAGGTGGGGGCTGGCCCGTGGCCTCTGTCCTCCTCAGCCGCCCCCGTTGTCCCCTCCTGACCGCCGGGGCCCAGGGCTTCTCTCGTGGGTCCTCCCAGCCAGGAACACCAGCCCGGCCCGCCTCCGGGCAGCGGCCACACAGCCCCGCCCGGCCTCCTGGGACCTCCGGAGCAGCGAGGCCCAGCCCCGGCCCTTGGGGGACTTCAGGTTTCTCTGCGGAGCCTGGACACTGCGAGCAAAGCTGCCCCTGAGAGGGCCGAGACGAGGTGGGAGCGCTCCTCCATCGCTCCCACGCTCGGAGGGGGAGGAGCCGGGAAAGGCCTGGGCGTGCGGGGACGCGCCCCCCACACCCCCCTCCCAGAGCCGGTGACCGGCAGCCTGAGCATCCCCGCTCCACTCCGACCTCCCGGGGTTATCGTCCTGACCCGGAAGTCCTCCGAGTCACGTTGTTAAAAATAACTGCTCTTCTACATTTTCAAAACTTGCACCAGGTCAGGGCGAGGAAGAGGCAAGAAAACGAAAGAGCAAAGGCGGGTGGGAAATTACGGAAAGTCAGCGGTAGCCACCAACGCAGACACACCCCGCGCTGGCCTCGCGTGTTGGCGGAAGAGTGTGTGGGCCGCCGTAGGGATGCGTTTGTGTGTGTTCTTACATGCAGTCGTTTTCGTAAGTCTTCCTACGTGTTACAGTGCGTGTCTTTCCAGATTACCTTTTTTTTAAAAATAATTTATTTGTTTTTAGAGAGAGAGGAAGGGAGGGAGTCAGAGAGGGAGAGAAACATCCATGTGTGGTTGCCTCTCATGCGCCCCCTACTGGGGACCCGGCCCACAACCCAGGCATGGGCCCTGACTGGGAATCGAACCTGCGACCCTTTGGTTTTTGTTCACAGGTCAGTACTCAGTCCCCTGAGCCACACCAGCCACGGCTTCTTCCCAGATTACTTCTCATCATGGACCAGTTGTCGACTATATGACTAGAACATGCCTTTATCAATATATTATTGGATATTTGAGAACCCTTCCTACCTTCCTTCCTTCCTCTCCCCCTCTCTCTTCCTTACTTCCTATTTTCCTTCTGTTTTCTCTTGCTTTCATAGATAACTGTGAAAAACGCTCTAACAGACGTGTATTTGCAAATGTGCACCATTACTTCCTGAGGGTGAACTTCTGGAAAGGACTGTGCTGTATCCCTAGGACATACATTTTTCCAGGACTTTCATCACTTCATGGTTCCATCATCCTTTGCACCGAAAGCTTTAGGAGTCCCTGTTATACTGTAAATATTGAGCCTTTATCTTTCCGAGCATGGTTACTCACTTACCCTCTGGTTTTATCATTTTGTTTTTAGGAAGGAGGTTCTGGGTTTTGGCACATAGGGAAATTTTTAACGGTCAAATGGATCAAGTGTTTCATTCATGGTTTCTCTTCCACAACGATACATAAATGTTCCTCTAAATCCATCCCAGTTTTTTTATTTAATTTTTCACATGAGCTTTTTTCTTTTCATCTAGGTGGAATTGGGCAAATAAAGGTATTACTTATTTTAATAACATTTCAGCAAGTATCTCCGCACATTTTATTAAATAGCCCATTCTTTCTCCACGGACTTCAAATACTTTTATCTTCTTTTATATGTTTAATTACCATGAGCACTGGGACCTACTTTAAGCTTTTTCTATCTTGTTTCTCTGATCCATTCTAGTAACCACCAACCGTTTAAAATACACGTAAAAAAAAAACAACTAGTAAAGCGTGTTTCTCCTCATTACGCTCCTGTTTCAAAATTTCCCATTTTCACAAAATCATTTGAGCAGGTGAGTTTCAGTAGCGACATTATCAAGCTCCCCCCCGCCCCCAACAAAAACCTCTCATCTTGACTTTAACTGGGTCAGTCATGTTTTGGAGCAATCATAAGATTCATTTCAGCAGATTCTTTAAAAATGAGCGACTGTGGCGCGGCCTTCCGACACCACACGTTTACGGGTTATGTATGCACTTGTACCGTGTAGCAAGGCCGCGTCTGTTGCTACTTGAGAGTTTCCCTCCCGTGTTTAAAAGTGCAATTACTTCCTTTGTATATCCTGGCCAGGTTCTGGTATCATGTTAACTCTGTCAAGTAAACGAAACTCTCCTCTTTACTAAAATAGCCAAAATTGAAGATTTGAAGACAAAAACAAAGGAAAAAAGCGCCCCCGGCGCTCCAGGCCTGTGGATTTCTGACCCCAGAACCGTTTCTACGGGGGGTTGTGAGCGTGACTGAGCGTGTCGGGGAAGACGCAGTCCCCCCGCTCCGGTGTGCTAAGGCCCCCAAAGGGGACAAGTGGCCTCAGGGGTGGGTCCCCACGCTTCCAAACCACAGGGCAGCCTTGGGGAGCAGCGCCTTCAACACACAATGTCAGTGTCAGGGGGTCGCCCGTGAACCCCCCTTTTTCTGAAAAGGAGCCAGAATGCGACCCCAGAGCTCCACCCCCCAGCCCGTGGTCTGCCGTCCTGACGTCACCACCTACAGGGTCCGGGACCCCGCTGAGCACTGCCGAAGCCACGACCACGCGGACCCCAGGGCTGGAGATACATCTGTCACCCCCACTCTGTCAGCTGCCTGCTCGGAGGGAAACACACACATGCCACACGGGGGACCCGCCCTCATCCAAGCCGCCACCTCCGGGTGCAGGTGTGCCCTGCACACACCCACCGACCAAATGGGGGCAATGACCCATCGCTCACGTCTCCCTTCCCGTGTTTCAGGTCAGGGACCCTGGCCACACGCCCGCTCAGATGTTCTAAGAGCTGGAAAGGAAACTATAGGCTCCATCAGCAGGTGAACCCCGGGCGAGAGTCCCGACTCCGTGGGGCCAGAGTGCCCGGCTCTCCGGCCGCGTCTTCAGCCCCAGGCCCGAGGGTGGCTCTCGCCGGCATGGACCCCGGGCACGTCCACCCCCCACCAGCGCTCGGGCTGCTGTCCGCGGGGACACACCCGGCAGGACGATGTTCTGAAATGACACACCCAGGGCATCTGCCGGCCCGGATCGCTGTGGCATGCTGGGGCCCTCCACCCCGGGCGCTGCGGCCCCCCTGCCCCCCACGCATGCGGGGAGAGGTTGGAACCTGCACGCAAACAAAGCCGCGCGTGTTTGGCTCTTCGGGTCCAAACGAATACCATTTCGGCCGGGGAGAGCCTCCGAAGCCAAGGCTGTCTGGCTTTTGTGCCCGAGCCGGAGAAGCTTTTATGAGATTTGTCAGAGAGAGAGAGAGAGAGAGTCACAGAGACTTCTGGGTTCCAAGGAACCAGAGCTTGAAGCACTCGGAGAGCGGACACCTTGTCACGAGCTGCGGAGTGGGGAGGGCCCTTTCCAGAGAAGACACACGAGCCCTTGCTGAAGGCGGGGAAGGGGCACGGAGAGGGAAGAGGGTGGGCAGGAAGGATGAAAGGCTCCCTGGATTCCACCCTGGGGGCTGGGATCTGCGGCCCCCCTTTCCCCTGGGAGCTCTGGGGACGGCTGAGCACCGTGAGGGCGGAGAGAGGGGGTCTCAGGGAGCCACTCGGCTCCCGGCTAACGGAGAAGCCACCTCTGCCGAGGCGGCGGCTGGCACGGAATGGCCGGGCGGGGTGGGGCGGGGCGGGCTCGGAGGCAGGCAGCTGGACACCCGGAGGCCCAGGCCCGAGGTGCAGAAGGTGAGTACACCGGAGGACAAGCCTCCTCCCCTACCCCCGGGACGCCCTGTGAACGCCCCACGGCACCCAGGCGACACCTTGGCAGGTACCCTGAGTGGGGAGAGAGGAGAGAAAGTTGGAGGAAAAGTACCCACAGCCCTGATCAAGGGCTTTTGACTGCATCGGGCTTAAGTCCTGACTCAACAAAGTAATAAACGGAGGGTCTGCCCTTTCTGTGGGAAGACACTGCGTTACCTGGAAAAGCAAGTTACATTTTTTTTGCGCCATTCCAAGAAATGGAAAAAAGATTAGTTGTTGTTTTCTTTTTGCCAACTGTTGAAATGGAAAAAAGGATCAAGTTGTTTCCGCCCATGATTGACACGGAGGCTCCTGGGCAAGGCTGGCGCAGGTGAAGAGAAACCAGGTGTCCGCCCCGCTGAGGGATGGCGTGGGTCTCCCCCCCCACACCAGAGAAGCCACCGTCCCCGGGGGTGGGACCGGAAGCCCCGGCAGCACCGGCCACATTCCTCAGCGGGGTCTTCCGGACTGGACCCCGCACACGCGTGGGCAGGGTGCCGGGGCCCCTGGCTCACCTCCGCTGAAACCGTCCTAGAGGAAGAGACGGGTCCCACCCAGGGGACCCTCTGCCACCCCCTCGGCCGCCGCAGCCGCTTGGGTTCAGGGGTCGGCACCTGACACCTCCGCCAGGCAGTGCCCAGGAGTGCTCCCGGAGGAGGTGGGTGCGACAGCCACCGCAACACCGTGGCCGCAGCCCCAGCCCCGCGCTGCCCTGGGGGGCTAAGCCAAGCGTCCCGGAGAGCAGAGGTGGGCAACACACGGCCCCCGCCCCCTCCTTAGGGCACTGAGACAGAAGGTGACTGTGACGGAGAAGGGGGCGAGTGTCCGTGAAATGCTGAGTGTCCGCACCCTGGCCCAGCCGTCGGGGGAAAGGAAAAGAGGAGGGGACCCGAATGTTGGGGTGTCTGCCCCGGCTGTCAGCTGCTGCAGGTGGGGGAGTCATGTGCCCCCTGAAATACACGTCCCTTCCCTCTTGGCCATTGTAGGGTCCGGTTTCTAACACTATCCGGTCCCCACGGATTTTAGCAGCAGGAAAGTGCCCCTCCCCCAACCCCAAGCCCTGGATGCCGGGGAGTGGGGGGGGCACTCACTTCTGCGTCCAGAGACGCTGGGTGCATTCTGTCCTGGTCGGCCCCCCCCATTCCTCAGCCCCAGTCAGTTACGGGGGATGGAATAATAACCCTCGGTCTGTAGG